GCATTTCGAAACCTGCAAAATTAAAATCACAGTGAGTTGTAATGAGTTGAATTGTGCAGAAGAGATCTGTTGATAAACATCCTTACTTTTAATACATCGATACGCGACGCGACATTTTTACATAGCAGGTGTGTAGCTTAAGTTATATACTAAAGGAGAAACCTTTCGGAGTCATCCAAGTGCTTTTCTTGCCCCTCGACAAAACTTTCTGCCGAGTTTGGTTGCTTCTTCAAAGCCACGGTCAAGTTGCGCTGAAAGATGACTTGATCCACACCTGAATCATTATTTAATGGAAAAGTTACATGTATACGCTCCACCAGTTACTGCTTTGTGACGTTGAATACAACAATACTTTTACAAAGATGCTGATACAATATTGTGGTTTAGTAATTGACACAGCAGATCTCATGCAGTCTGTGAATAACATGTAGGAGGTAGAGTAGGGGTAACGAAGGTTGGTGAGGTAAATAGAGAGTAGAGAGGATGCTTAAAGATTGGAGGTAGGAATAATTACCAACTGTATAATCAAGTAAGCAATGCAAATAAGTAGTAAGTAACACATTCTAAGTATGTTGGTGAAGAGGGTTTAAGATGCAGGTTAGAGAGAGCATCAAGGATGGGAACAGTCAACTCACTGTCTACAAGAAGAATCTCACTGAAAACAACACGATTAAGACACTATGAATTCATGGAAACAGACACAGCCAACACAATAACATACGACATATATATTATCCACACGCACGCATGCACGCATGCACATAATATAGTAAACTATGATAAACTATGAGCATGGGAGCACAGAAGTACAGGAGACAAATTATATCCAAAACCACAGCAAGAAAACTATTAGCATTAGACCATCTTGTTGAGATTGAACATTCACTCATGCGCCTATGCAGGCGTAACATTGATCAATGACTGAGAGAGTAGCAGAGTACAGTTAAACCTCGATTATCCGAACGAGACGGGCGGGGAGTATTTTGTTCGGATAACTGATCTGATCGTATTACCGTTAAATATTCACGGAACCTTGAGATCTTGTTCGGATAATCCGAAATTCGGATAATTGATGTTCGGATAACCGAGGTTTGACTGTTTAGCATAACGGGATTTCGCACGGTTTCACCGCGCTTACCTCAGCTTCTGTGACATCATAGTGTGCTCATCGTCCTCCACCATATCTGGAATGCACGCGATGACCTCACGTCTGACCTCCAGCGTAGACATGGCCGCCAACATCTCCAACACTTCATGACACAGCTTCTGCAATCGTCTCAAATAGGTAAGCACTCGGTTTTTTTTGAGCAGACGATTTCTGCAAGATCATTTGCGTAATGCAAGCAAATTTAGGAAGCATCCAGTTTTAAATCAAATTTCTATCTTCATCATTCACATTTCTGGTCGCAATGTCTGGAAGTTCAGATTCGGTGCTGCAACATGGCTGATGTGCCAAACCTCACCTTGCTATCAACGATGTGGTCGAGCCAACAGAACTGGTTCATGATCAGCCGTGGAACATTGACAGGGCTACCAACTTCAAACATCTGCCTGAAACACATCTTATCTGTTAACAGCACAGAACCAAATCCATTCCGTACAAGTGCCCTGAACATGTGTATATGTGTGCTAGTGCATGCATATGCGCATGTGAGCGTGCGTGTGCACCAACGTGACTATACATGCATGTGTGCATCCTCATTCATATAAACCAATCCCACCCAAGCCCTCCTTCACTCACCCCTCACTCCTTCGCTCGCCCCTCACTCCTTCGCTTGCCCTCACTCCTTCGCTCGCCCCTCACTCCTTCGCTCACCCCTCACTCCTTCGCTCGCCCCTCCCTCCTTCGCTCGCCCCTCACTCCTTTGCTCACCCCTCACTCCTTTGCTCACCCCTCACTCCTTCGCTTGCCCCTCATTCCTTCGCTCACCCCTCACTCCTTCGCTTGCACTTATAAATTCTCTGTCACAGACAAGCACGATAATGACATTGGCTACTCACTCGGCCGCCTCCTCGTACAACACTAGCTTCTGCAGCAGCAGTTTCGCTAGGCGCAGCTGCAATACAAGCAACAACCTGTTAATGATAAACCTCACCTCTGCCGTGCTATAGCTAGCCAAGTTCGGTTTAGTTAGGGAATTATAGAGGGCGCGGCGAGTTAAGATTATACGTGTCAAACACACGCCATTACGAAACACGCCCTAACTAAACCGAACTCGGGCAGCTATACTTGCTTTACCGCAATCAAAAATCATAATTGGGGGATGGCAATAATAGATACCTGTAACATGTCGATTCCCAGCAGTAGTTTTATTAGACTATCCTGCATTCCTCCTCTAGCACTGAAACCAAACACA